GATTTAAAAAAGGTGATGCCGATTACGAGAAAAGGTAGTGATGTCATGTTCAAAATAAAATCCTTGCATGTTTTGGGAATGGTTACGACCAATCATTTCTTAGCGCCGGGTCTTGCGGCTCCACGGTTATCGGTTAACCACTTCCATCCCCCGCCATGGCACGATGTGTATATCCGGGCCGACCAGCTCAGCCCGGCTCAGCTCAGACAATTCACGTCACCTTCTCGCGTCCATCGGGATAAGGATATCGCGTGTCAACATAGTCAACTCATCAGTGACTTGGCAAACGTCGCGGCGTGCCAACCCCATCCGGTCCACAAAGAGCCCGGCCGAGACTGGCGAGCTTTACAGGCCCAGGGTCATGTCAACAAATGATTATTGCCGTATTGGTTGCACTACCAGTGGGCATGCTGATACTCTACTAGCCCATTGCTTATGCTAATCCGCCGCGCCGGCTCTCCTTAATTGCCTCGTAAATAGTTACTAGTGACAATATGAGCAACCCTTCACATCCTGCTGATCAGTTGTGGCTGCAAGGCGCAAGCTCTCTAAGCTTCTTCTTGCTTACTTCATCCTTCGCAGTCACTGCTGGGGCGTTTGCCAGAGTAATGACGTTTCCAACTCGTTCCGTTCAGCTCTGTTCTGGCCTCTGTTCCGTTTGGTATCGTATCGTTCTGTATCTGGCTTAGTCAAACGGAGAATGTTTACCATATAATCCTCCCGCTAATCGCATTGCCTACCGAAGAATGCTGCCGATAGTGTTCCGTTGTCCGATCACTCACTGGCTCAGTCTGGCAGCCGGGACCCGTTCCGCCGGCTCCCGCGCCGTGCGGCTCTCTGCCCCGCTCCGCCCGGACACGGGATGGCCAGGAAAGTGTCCGCAGCAGCGGCGATTTGTGGGCGCCTTCCGCCGCATGGGCGCCCTATCAGCGCGGCGGCCGACAGAGGCGGCAGTAAATCAGCCAAACGACACATTAATGGGTGTCGGTCGCCGCCGGCTCTGCAGCAGTCGCCTGGAGCCTGCAGCGTGGACCCCCGCGCGGACCCCCGCCGCCGCGCTGCCCGCAGCTCTGCCTGGAGTAGCCGCCAGGAGCGCCTGCTCTGAACAGACACACAGACAGTGTGCTGCACTGACGGCTTGGAGAGGAACTGGATCGATTCCAGGATACACACCGCAGTGGGGTGTCAGTGCACAATAGTCTGTAGTGTAGCCATGCTTAGCGTACAGCGTGCACAGCTCTGGTGCACAGTACAGGCGCGCTCTGCACGAGGTGCACGCGGTGGATGTGGATATCTGATAAGACCGCACTGGGTCACCCGGTCAGGGTCGCCGCCGACTAGGTCACGTTTGGGGTTCATAGATACGACAGATCTCGTAGGATTACCGGCGGGTTTTGCACATAGATCACAGTGTGTGAAGGCCAGATGAAATGGCAGCAGAGCAATGCACTACAAAGCTCATTAACCCTCGCCCGCACATGCCATTTTCCCATCCTAGAACGCACATGGGGGGGGGGGGGTTGCCACCCCCCCGCGCCATTTCGTTCCTGTTGGAGATAGAGCTTAGCGGTAAAGACCAAAAAGATTCTTTGGGAAGTGACAAATCTAATGATACCCAGTTTTACCTTCTCAGGTCAGTCATTGACCTTCCAGGTCAGGTCAAACTAAAAAATGTTGCTGTTTTGGGTCACCGTTGGATATCAAGTGCGCTGCTTATCAAATATCGATGACGATGCTGTTTTCTAATGCCAAGCCAGCTAGAACCTCTTTGTCACACTACTCGACCAGAATTTTGCTGCTGAGGTCATTTCAGGTCAAGTTAGGTCAAGGTCAATTATATGTGTTTATATGTCTGTGTGTGTCTGTGTGTATACTGATGTGTGCACCGATTGTTTTTGGGTCCATATTACATGAAATCATGATCTGAGAAGCTTTTACCAAAAATGCAGTCAAAAAACTTCACAAAAAGTAAATTCAGCTTGCCTAAAACGCAATTATCTTAGATAACCTAAGTTGACCTTGACCCTGACCTTGACCCCTGTACATCGTCGAACAACATGTTCCATGATAGGTGGGAGGTAAGACTGGCAAAAAAGGCCGAAATCAGGGTGTCAAAAGCTCACAAGGCCCATGGCAAACGCAAGATGTTGAGAATTGGCCATTTGGGTCATGACATGACCTGAAAAACAAGGTCATATCTCCGAAACCAAAAATCACAGAAACTTGAAATTTTCAGTGGACGTCAAGAAAGGATAGAGGAGCAGCTATACGAAAAATCAGCTTTCTAGCTCTAAAAATGTTGAGTGCAGAGCAGAAAGACTACCTGAGGGGGGGGGGGGGTGGCAACCACCCCCCCCCCATGTGCGGGCGAGGGTTAAGTTAGAAATTCAGACAAAATGCAACTTGAGCTTCGATTGAAACGTTTGCAAAGTTATCATTAGCAGATATGTGCAATGTCATACTATCTGGAGATGTCAGAAAGGTTAGAGTCCTTTCAAAATAAACAACATTTTAATTTCCAACGCCCAAGACTCGCCAGCTTTAAAACAGTAATAAGTTATACCATTATCATCCATCAGACACCTGTTCGTGGAAATGGAACTTAGCTATTTCCGCTTATCAGTCCTTTCAACTGTTAAACTTCCAGTGCTTATTACTCTGTTCGACGAAAAGTAATATTCTCTGCAGCGCGCCACATTCGTCACAGTATCGCGCCACGTCTGTCACAGTGCCGCGCCACATAAGCCTCCGTTACGACCGGGATGTGGCGCATGGTCAAACGGCAGGCGGTCGACAATCACAAATTGGCCACTGACGGCGCACCGGCTTCCGAGTTACAGCTCCTGGAACTGGGCGGAACGGGTGGAATGGACGAAACGGGTGGAATGGACGGAACGGTTGGAATGGGCGGAACGGGTGGAATGGGTGGAATGGAAGGAATAGAAGGGATGTACAGAACGGGTGGAATGGACGGAACTTACGGAACGGGTGGAATGGGCGGAACGGACGGAATGGGCGGAACGGACGGAATGGGCGGAACGGACGGAATGGGCGGAACGGATGGAATGGAAGGAATTAGTGATGTCAATTACGGAAAATCGGAATACCGATACCAAACCAAATACCAACCAAAACCGTGGAGAAATACCGAAACCAAACCAACTTGGGAACATGAGGAAAATACCAACTTTTTACCGATTTCTTAGCCTCTTAAATATTAGCCAGGGTTCATAATACCAACAAAATACCAAACACATTAGGATTGAAATACCAAATACCGAGTTCGTGTCGGTTTGGTATCGGTATACCAACAAGTTGGTATCCGATTGACATCTCTAGAAGGAATGGAAGGGATGGAAGGGATGGACGGAACGGACGAAATGGGCGGAACGTGAGGAACGGGTGGAATGGACGGAATGGACGGAATGGACGGAATGGGTGGAATGGACGAAACGGACGGAACGGGTGGAATAGACGGAACGGACGGAATGGACGGAATGGACGGAATGGACGGAATGGACGGAATGGACGGAATGGACGGAATGGACGGAATGGAAGGGATGGGAGAAATGGAAGGGATGGACGGGAGGGGCAAGTTGGGAGGCGGTACTGTTGACGACATTGCAGACTTTGTCCAGACTATGAGTTGGGAGTGGTATGTACGTCTGCCCTCCGTGGGTCGCGGTGGACTGAGGACAGGAAGTGAATCAGAAGGCCGTTCACGTGCCATGTTGCTGCTTACGTTGAGATGGTGGATCGGTGCAGTCTGTGGTGATTCATCCTACTCTTATCTCGCCCGCCTAATTGGAGTGATGTTTGCCACTCAAGAGGAATGATTTCTGGCCTGGGTGACCCGCGTCTAACGACTCCTGTCTAGCAAGCAGAAGGAAGAGCGATGTAAGGCTATTTGCGGACGCCCCAGACATCCTTTCCTCCTACCTCACTCAAGGATAATTACTCTTGCCTGCCTAAACTTCTTCTGACATCATTTCCCCTGCTGAGGGAGTCGATTTTCTGGCACAGCCTCGGCGACCCCTACCGACTTCAGCCCGCGGAGCTCAAGGATAACACCGGATCCATCTGATCCAGGCTGCATCGCAGCAAAATAAACAATGGCAAACCGGTGCCAGAGACGGCAGACGCGCTGGCAGCCGCCGAGTCGCCGAGCAGAGCGATCGATGACAATTGCTCCCGAATCGCACACAAAGCTGGACTCACTGCTGACCTCTAGCATATGATCACTGCCTTGCCTGAATTGCAACGACAGGACATTCTTTATGCCAGGCTCGCCAGACGTGTGGCGAGGGGTCAACGCCTGATAAAGCGGCCCGCCACTTTGGCCCGCAATGCGCCATCCTGGTGAGAGTGGCGCCAGTTCAGATGGCACTGCAGTGCGCCAGTTTTGCTCGCGTTTCGCCGACTTGGCAGCCCTTCCGAGAGGCGTTAGGCAAGGGGAGGGGCTGTGAGCTACCCCAAAGAGTCTGAACTAACCCGTGCCTGGTCCGTATCGGAGAGCTGTGCTCTCTCGTGAAAAGCTCTGAATTGTTGAGCATCGTCGATAATGGCCAATTTGATCCCGTTAGAAGTTCAAATGTCTCGCGCTGGAAATCACTTAGAGGGAAACGGCTAGCTCGTATTCCCGGCGCACCACTTCCCTGTAGACTGGGTTAAACGGCACGCGGCATGCACTGGGGAATGCAATGCTACTACTAACTTTAGCTGAGTCATGTTCTTTAACTGGGGTGCTCTAGAACGTGCATACGATTGCCAGGTATGCCTTGTGCGTCTCACGTGTCACTGCCAATGCCGTATTAGTCGCTTGTGTGGGCGGCATGCGCCATTCAGAACACATGCAATCGTGTGCTCCGAGTGTCGAACACGTTTGCTGTGTTTCACCCACCAATCTCCTGTTCACATCTAGCTGCTGACACCGTTTTGCGACCACTATTTGCATGTCGTGCCTGTTCGATTTTCAATGCATGTGTGACCGTTCGTTTCAGGACCTTTCATTCGCATCGTACCTGTCTCTCCCGTCAAGAAGCCGGATCCGGTTCGAGCCATTGGAAATTCCGTTTTGGCTACGGCGAAATCAAAGAGAATTCGAATCAGCTTACTTCGTAATAAACGTAAGGAACCTGAGCCATATGTATATATCTTCGGATGAGCCAGCCGCCAGAACGCTGAGCCGGCAGTCAGAGAGATGCGGCTGCTAAATACGCTTGTCGCTGGCTGCTAATGCGTGCGGCTGTGAGCCGCTTCAAGTCGCCACTTGGTTAGTCCCATGTAAAGTGGCGAGATGTTCGACCTTTGCATAAGATATGTTTATAATTAAATTGCTGCTGGCACGATTTTAGATCAGCTGTATGACCAGCAAGTTGCGAGCTCCAGATTATCTTCCAAAAAAGAATAACGCACGTTACAACCAACCTATTAATTAGTGCTCTTAAAATTTAACAAAGTTGCTGACTCACCAGAATAAAAATTACATTTCAACTTGAAGCTGTGCGCCGACTATGCGTGCTATTTTTACTCTAGCTAAGCTTGATATCATGCAAAACAATGACAAAAAAAGTTTTAAGTATGTTTTTTTCTGTATGCAGTTAACCGTTAACAGTAAATCTATTTAACCAATCCACGCGGCCTGATAGTTGAAATACAGCAAAGCTGTCTAATGTCCTGCACTGAAATGAACTATATTACCTAAATGCAACCATTTGTAAGATGATGAAAGGCTGAACCTAATAAAATGACGGAACAACTCACAGTAGACAGAGTAAGTGCTCATAACACGTCAAGGCATAACGCCAGTGTGCGCCCGGTAAGTTTTGCACCGCACTGCCGCTGTTGCCAATAAGCGTCGCCGTGCTGCCTTCCGGAATGCTATCAACAGTGCACGCTTCCAGCATTACGCGTATTGCACAATGCACAGCATACCTAGTCGGTGTAAGTATTTCAACTTTGATAGCTGTATGGTTATTCTGTTCGCACTGCATTGCTTTGTAAGCACATTGCCGAACAAATATTTTGCTAGTTTTGTTGTGAATAGTAGACCTGCATTCTGCATGTTGTAGCACCTATATTTCGATGTTTTTTTCGGGCGTAATCCCATCTTCTTGTCATGTCGACCTGCCTTAGACGACAAAAGACTGCATGTTTTTTATTACAGGTCGTGAACACTTCCTAAATTGTGGTTATGCTCCCCCTCCGGCCCCCTTTCCGGTGAATATTGAAGAAATGAAGCATAAAGTCGTGACATTCATGATCCGAACATGTATAGTGTTCCAGGAGTATTTTCCCATACGCCTTTTTTGCCTAGCCTCCTAACATGCGAAAATATTCACCAGGGAAAAGGACAGACATGATAAAAATAGAGCTATCACGATCCCATCATCCTTCGATAACCGGCGGTCGATTCAGTTGAAAGCGTTAGCCGCCAGACGTATGATCGGCCCAAATGAGCGATAAATGCCCCGATAGCTCTGAGATTGTGCCAGCCATTACTTGGCCTTAGTCACACTTTTCTTTCTCGTTACGCACTAAATCACACAATGGCTTGAATATATATCCCTTGATAGATTGCAGTGCATTACGAATGGAGCTGATGACCTCGGATAAGCTCATTCAATTGGTCTGACTAATGGTCTGGTCGTCTGCGCACACACTCGCTGGTGCTGCTCATTGAGTGCTAAGCGTCTTCCACTCTGAGTAGGATCTGTATTGAAGAGAGTTCTGATATCCAGAAGGCTGCTGATGCTGAATGCCGCGCCATAGTCTCTTGTAGGGCTCATATGTCAATATTCTGATAGCGTGAGAGCGCTGTAACAGAGACATTCGACCGTCACGAAAGGGTCACGGGATGAGAAAATATACAGGATGGTCACGGAATCAGTTAGCGCCTGGCTTAATGATCACTCTAGCATCTAATTCAAATCAAAAGATAAGCAAGTAATAGCCTTTGGCTCATTGTATAATAGACAAAAGAAATGGAAAAGAATATATGTGCGATATTTCGTGTTCGACACTTTTTCATGCACTCATGCACTCATGCACACTTTTTGAGTGCATGAAAAAGTGTCGAACACGAAATATCGCACATATATTCTTTTCCATTTCTTTTGTCTATTATACAATGAGCCAAAGGCTATTACTTGCTTATCTTTTAATAATAATGGGGCTCATTTTCAAAGAAACCCTCAACATCATTCTAATTCAAATCGACATGTTCTCTCCATTACTGGAGTTTTCCCTTTTATTGGCAAATATTGCTTAAAGTTTTATAACCGTGCGCAATGCACATTGTACAAAACGATGTCTTATTGAGCTTAATGACCTCTTTACTGAGCAGTTACCAACTTTCGAACCACTGGTTTTCTGGGAATCGCTTAGCAAGCCCCCCCCCCCCCCCCCAATGGCCATTGCCCAATGGGGGTTTGTCAGTGCTGAAGTTTGGCTACTTGCTCGTCGAGTTCCTAAGGCAGCCACGGTTCTGATGAAGTCGGCAAGTTATTACATCTTGGCTGAGTACTGGTCAAGCCACTTGACCTTTGTCCTTACCGTTACAAAGATATCATGGCGGTCAGTTGCCAAACTGTGCTCTGAGTGCTCATTGAGCTGATATCCTGCAATGTCACGGTCAGCAGCGGTCGCTAAGGCGGGCTGACGTAAATATTCGAAATGATCGCAAGGCTATCTTTTAGCTAACATTGTTTTCCAGTGATACCTATAAATTATACATATGTATGCTGCTTTGACCTGTTGGTCGCTTCAAACTCCTTTCAAGTCTTTGTCCATGGTCTTATTTCATCTAAAAAGCCAGTATATCTGTGCCATGCCTAAATTACTATCCATTTTCGCATTTCTTGAACTCAGTTATGCTGAAATAAAGATATCCATAACCTTCCTCACTCTTGAGGTCAATCAATGCCCAAAATACTTCTCGTAATTGCCCTCAAGAATGGAATCCATTAGAAATGGTTGGCTCCGTGACCGCCGAGTAGCGTGACAAATTCCCCGCCCCACCCTCTTTGACCCTTGACCTCTATTCTGTTACTGCGCTGCTATTGATTCGTACATAAAACCTTGCTGTGCCTACATGCCTTTTTTAGTGTAACAGCCGTTTAAGCTAATGGAAGCTTCTCGAAACGTCCTTTATTTCTATTTAACTGATCTTGTCTTAAAAAGTTATCGGCATAGACATGCACTCTAAATTGATTACATGTCGCAGGGTCAGACTTTATTCCAGATCCCGACAGAAATGGGCCAAGCTGGCTTCAAATCGGGACCAAACCCTTACTAAATCACCGCTCGTGTTTCAGTCAAAAACTCCGAAGGCCTCGAATCGGGTCAGGTCGAACTTAAAACTCGGTCACGATTGATTTTATTCGGCCCGGATGCAGCCTTGAACTCAATCTGACCGGCGGTGGCCAAATCTGAGTCGCCCGTGGGCGTCAGACATCGGTACTGTTTCAACTTTCATGGTGTCTGCCAGCCCCTTCCGTACACGCTCTCCTTCAATGCCGTGTGGAGACTACCATTGGTAGATGTCGGCTTCAGCCAGCTGCGGTCGGACGGGAAATAGTCACTCGGCTCCAGTGCCATTGGAAATTTGCAGAGTCGAGCCGTTTTGAGGGGTTTGCCACCAGTGGCTAATAAAGATTAGGGCGTAACGTGAGTATCAGCATATCATTAAACTTCAATGTGATCAGTAATATTTGTGTTGAAATACACCATTTGTTTCTTGAGTGCCCTTTTACATAACGTTAATATTTTCTTATGAGTAGATTGTTTGACATACTATACGGACAAATTTTGAATCAGGCCGTAAAAGAATTACGCGTCATTAACAGCTTTGATGTGTGACATCAGCATAGTTCTCGCTATGGGCGCTCATTCATCAGGCTGCCTCGAGCCTGATCCCTTGCGGTTTGGCAGCCACCCCCCGCGCGGCTATCCGACCAGCTGTCGGGGCGACGTCATCACCAGCACGTCATCACCGACGCGTCATCGGTAGAAGCGTCAACAAACAGGCCGCGCCGCCGACTATCTGAGCGGCTCAGAGCGACAGAAAGGCCGCGGTGACGGCTGTCTCACGGCCAGACCACCGCGCCGTCAGATCTGCGTCCTGCGCCCCCGCCGCCCCTCTCCAGCCCGCGGCTCGCTCAGAGTGCTCCAGCGGGAGGTTCGGCATGCGCCTGCCGGCCGGTGCCGTCGGCCCGGCGCCGTCAGCGTCGTTTGCCGGCGACCCCTCGTCGCCAACGACGATCGATGACGATCACCAGTGGCTGCCAATCGTGCCTGTTTAAAGCCGACCGCCGAGCCACCGCGCACTCCGGCGGGCCCAGGAATGTGAGAGGTGCGGGCCGGCAGACAGTCGTGGTGGGAAAGGTAACGGCGAGGATGGAAGGAGAGGATCAAAGTGTGGTGAAGGAGGGAAGGAGAAAAAGATGGTGAGAGCTGAAGTGCAAGTGAAGAGAACTGAAAAGATGTTCAAAGCAGTGGTACAATCTACGAGTTGAAAGACAATGGAAGTCAAAAGTAAGAGCAACTATGCAGACGCCGGAAAATCGGAAAATGGCGGAGATGTAAATGTCAAGGAGAAACATAATCATGACAGCTATTGACTGCCAACAAGACATGCGTTCCAAACAAATGGCCCCAAGTATTGTCTAATTCCAGCCATTTCTAAATGAATGCGCATTGCGCGGACCCTTGAGCTAATCACTTAAAAGTCACAGTTGTTTGACTGAAATCCGCAACAACCACTGGAAATTGCTGTTCCATCCGACTAAAACAGCTCAAACATCTCGCTAATTAATCCACCCTGAAAGTCAGCTAATTCTCTTCACGTACCACAGTGCAGATGGATTCTCCGAATGGTTTTCACATATAAACCACTCAATAGTGTTGTCTTCTGCGAACCTCTCCATATGCCAGCGCGAGGCGTTGCCATGGCCTGTCGATTGGATGTCGAACGTGCCTTGGCGCTTGTCATCAGTTACTCTGAAAGGACCAAAGCGGGGGCGAACGTTGTATGTCGCATGTCTGGGGAGGGGGGAGAAAGCGAGAGAGAGAGAGAGAGAGAGAGAGAGAGAGAGAGAGAGAGAGAGAGAGAGAGAGAGAGAGAGAG